CGTCTACGCCTGGGGCAGCAACTCAGAGGGACAGGTAACCCGCGGCCCGACCGGTCCGACCCCACCGGGTCCACAGGTTCGGTCCTGACCCGCTCTGTTGATCCGATCCTGCAGCTGGGTCTGGGCCACACCAACCACGTCAGAGAGCCCACGCTGGTGACGGCGCTACAGGGCAAGAACATCAACCAGATCTCTGCTGGACGCTGCCACAGCGCCGCCTGGACGGCGCCCTGCGTGCCGCCGCGCGCGCCAGGTGGGTCCGGTTCTGAACCGCCGGTCTGGTTCTTGCTCTTCAGTTCAGACCTAGTTATGTAATGAGTTATTGGACCTTAAAGTAAGCCATGTAGTTCTGGCCGGACCCAGATCTGATCTGGATGTTGTCATCAGTTAAAGTGATGAATTAAATCCTGATCCTGATGCAGCCCCTCCTCAGCCTTCTGCTGTAAAACAGCCTCCATCTTTTCTCCTCCTCGTCTTCGTCGCCTTCAGGCTCGTCGGTTCCGCTCCAGCTGGGCCTCCCGGTGGCGGTTCCGCCTCAGTACAGCGGGCTGAAGGAGGTCAGCATGGAGGCGGTGAGGGCGCGGCTCCGCCTCCTTTACCATTTCTCCGACCTCATGTACTCATCATGGCGGCTGCTGAACCTCAGCCCCAACAACCAGGTGAGATCAGAACCGCAGCAGAACTTCCAGAACCCGGCCGGCCGTCCTCACTGCCTGTTTTTCCACAGAGCTGCACCTCCCACTACAACGCCGGGACCTGGGGCATCGTCCAGGGCCAGTTGCGCCCCCTGCTGGCTCCCCGGGTCTACACGCTGCCCATGGTGCGCTCCATCGGGAAGACCATGGTTCAGGGGAAGAACTACGGCCCGCAGATCACTGTCAAGCGGATCTCCACCCGGTCAGTGACCCGTCCGCTTTGTAAACCCACTTTAGAGTCCAGAACCCGACTGACGCTCCGGTTCCTCTCTCCGCCTCGGCCCAGCGGCCGGAAGTGCAAACCGATCTTCGTCCAGATCGCCCGGCAGGTGGTGAAGCTGAACGCCTCCGACCTGCGGCTGCCGTCCCGCGCCTGGAAGGTCAAGCTGGTGGGCGAGGGGGCGGACGACGCGGGCGGCGTGTTTGATGACACCATCACCGAGATGTGCCAGGTATTCCCAGCTCTGAGCTTCCCTCACCGACTCCAGGGGTTTCCAGGAGTTTCCAGGAGTTTCCAGGTGACTGATGGTGGGAATGTTTTGCAGGAGCTGGAGACGGGTGTGGTGGATCTGCTGATCCCCTCCCCTAACGCCACCGCAGAGGTCGGCTACAACCGAGACAGGTGAGCAGCATGAAAGCTGTAAAATCCCACTGCCAGTGAACTCACCTCATGGTTATAAGAGTGATGGAAATGATCAAAAACGAAGCAACGACAAAGTAATAAACATCACCTGATGAGGAATTAATTTGACATTTTGTTCCATTTGTGTTCAGTTCAGGTTTACTAGATAAAAATCCTGTGAATTTAGTTTAATTCATGAGTAAAATCTGAATGAAAACAGTAAATTAAAGATTTATGGCCTGATTGCTCCCAAAACCGTTGTTAAGTTGTAAGTAGCATACTGCGCATGTGTGAGATGTAAGGAGTGGGAGGCGGGGCTAGATCTGTGTTTTCTTCATTCTGTTGGGTGATGAGCGCGGGAGCGCATGTTGTTAACTGTTTATGGCGACCATTAAAGTGTGGATGCTAACGTCAGCAGAGTGATTATTGAATCAACAACCGTCACGGGGAAATATTTGGACGACAGATTCAGAGACTTGTTTCCGCATCTGTAAAAAGAAAATGTTTCTGCAAAAGTTGAGAAGACGACAGTGATCGATTATCAGTATTGGAGCTGCATCGCTCTAATCTTCTCGTTTTCCTCCAGGTTCCTTTTCAACCCGTCCGCCTGCCTGGACGAGCACATGATCCAGTTCAAGTTCCTGGGCATCCTGATGGGCGTAGCGGTGCGCACCAAGAAGCCGCTGGACCTGCACCTGGCGCCGTTGGTATGGAAACAGCTGTGCTGCATCCCGCTGCAGCTGGAGGACCTGGAGGAGGTGGACCTGCTGTACGTCCAGACACTGAAGAGCATCCTGCACATCGAGGACAGCGGCATCACCGAGGACAGCTTCCACGAGGTGGGGACGGGGACCCAGTCGGGCCGGGACCGGGCCATTCTAATCCGAGTTAGAATAGAATATCTGTATTCCTCCTCCAGTGCCAACAGACGGGTTCCTCCGGCTGCGGCCTGGGCGGCACCGCCGTTCATCACATGGGCACAAAGACAAAAAGAGGGGAAATCACAGCTATGTGGAGGCGTCTCTAACAGGACACAGCCTGCTAGCCTGCTAGCCTGTTAGCCTGTTAGCCTGCTAGCCTGTTAGCCTGTTATTTTGTTCAAGGATTGCATCCAGTTGTGTTGGGGAATGAAAGGTGGCAAACGAACATGTGAAAACATGTTTTTCTCACTGCTCCATCTTCACCGGGAGGAGATTTATTCAGCACATCTGAGTACGAATTTAAAGTTTAACAAATGATCTCCCAACTTTTAATGGTTGCAGGACTTTTTACAGAATTGTATCTGTTGCTGTGTGTTTGGAAGTTTTGACCTATGGCATCGTTTTGGCTCACATCAAAATGAGCGCTGACGGGATTTTCCCTGATGCGATCCGAATGGATCTGTGGAAACTTGGGTAGTCGACACCAGAACCGGCCTGTTGGTGGCGCTCCAGCTGCTGCTGTTGGTCTGTCAGGCCCAGTCAGGTTGGTTCTGTTGGTTCTGTTAAGTCTGGTTCTGCTGGTTCTGTTCCAGATGATACCTCTGGACTCGTTCGTGGGTCAGAGCGCGGACGGGAAGATGGTTCCCATAATTCCCGGCGGAGGCAGCATCCCGCTCTCCTTCTCCAACAGGAAGGAGTACGTGGAGCGGGCCGTCGAGTACCGGCTGCACGAGATCGACCGACAGGTAAACCGAGTCTGGCCGGACCAGAACCAGAACCGGAACCGCTCACTAACCTGTCTGTTCTCCTCCCGTCCGCCAGGTGGCGGCGGTGCGTGAGGGCATGTCGTGGATCGTGCCGGTGCCGCTGCTGTCGCTGCTGACGGCGCGGCAGCTGGAGCAGATGGTGTGCGGCATGCCGGAGATCTGCTGCGAGGTTCTGAAGAAGGTGGTCCGGTACCGGGAGGTGGACGAGCAGCACGCACTGGTCCAGTGGTTCTGGCAGACCCTGGAGGAGTTCTCCAACGACGAGCGCGTCCTCTTCATGCGCTTCGTCTCTGGGCGCTCCCGGCTGCCCGCCAACACCGCCGACATCTCACAGCGGTTCCAGATCATGAAGGTGGACCGGGTGAGTGGACCGACCCAAACCGGCAGGGACCGACCCAAACCGGTCAATACCGGCCTGGACCGACCCAAACCGGCCCGGACCGACCCAAACCGGCAGGGACTGAACCAAACCGGCCCGGACCGGCCAGGACCGAACCAAACCAACACAGACAACTTTCCATGTTCCTCACTGTAGTTGACCCGGTTCTGCTCAGGAAACAAACAGAATTGGCTTCTGGCCCATTTAGCAAACCCAGAGATGATGCTACCAAACCGAAACGATTAATCGATTAGTAAAATAATCGATTAATCGTCAGCTGGACCAGAAAGAAACAAATCAGAGCAGCGATTAAAGCCAAACTGCTCAAAGTATTAATGCTGCCAATCGATTAAAACATGAATCAAACGCTGATTAATGACTGACAGGAAGAATGGCAAACAACATTTCAGTAAATTATATTTTACCAAAGCTCGACGGCGTATTACAGCCAGAAAAAAAGACTAAATTTCTACCAAAAAAAACTCCAAAATTTCCAGAAAAAACTTTGAGATTTCTGATGTTGAAAAGTCAAAATTGTAAGATTTTTCAAACAGAAATTTACAAGATATTTTCTTGTGGTTTGTAGTTTTTTGATTTAGCAAATCTTTTGGTTTTTCAAAGTCAGAAATGTTCCAAAAGTTGCAAATTTGATTATAAGTTATATTCTATAATCGTAGAACTGAAAAGCGTGAGCTTACTCTGGATGTTGTAGATATAAGGAGTAAATTTCTGCCAAAATCTCAGAAACCTTTAGAAAAATCTTGGAAATTTTTGTAAAGCCAAAAAAGACTTCCTATTGTCTTCAATGGCCTTTAATAGATGATCATAAAAAACTGATTACATCTTTTAAATTATAGATAGAATTTAAAATTTGATTAAAAAATTATTTCTACATTTTTTAAGAGTTTATTTTTCAAATTCGGTTGAATTGGACTTCATTGTGACTAGTCAGAACAGCAGCAGTTAGACAGACCGACTGACGGCTGTATCCGCTCCTCCTCTCTGCTGACGCTCTCTGTTCCTCCTCAGCCGTACGACAGCCTCCCCACCTCCCAGACCTGCTTCTTCCAGCTGCGCCTGCCGCCGTACTCCAGCCAGGCCGTCATGGCCGAGCGGCTGCGCTACGCCATCAACAACTGCCGCTCCATCGACATGGACAACTACATGCTATCACGCAACGTGGACAACGCCGAGGGCTCCGACACGGACTACTGATGCTTCCACGCGGCTGCAAACTCTTTTACATCCGTTTTATTTCTCTATCGGCACAACCTTCATTTCTCTCTGTGGTTTATTAGTTTTTATCATGGAAATCCACAGGAAGCGCATTAATTCTGGTTTCCTCCCACAGAGCTCCTTGGAAACATGTACAGAATATCTGGGTAAAGATTGTACATTGTGTAAAATGCTTCGTTAGGAAAATGTTTTGCATTGTATCCATATTTATTGTTTTCATTGGCGGCAGCAAGTTTCCCAAAGCAAACAAAATAAAAAAAAACTATAAAATTGCTGCAGAATTGATCTGTTGAAATATGCATTTGATATGGCAAGCTGGTTTAGCATAAAATTTAAAGCCACTAAAGGATCAACTCTGTACTTGTTTTCTAGCATAGAAAGTACTCCTAGCTCAGTTGATCTGTGTTTTGTCTCTGCTGTTTTCTTAAACTGAAAGACGGAAACGTAAAGTTTGATAAAACGGAGCAGTTAGTGACTTCATCTAGGAGAGAAACGGACAATTTTAAAGGCTACAGGATGAAAGAGAGACAGGAAGTTAATCACAGGAAGTTGTCAAAGCAAAACATAACAGACCAGGTGTTGCTTCTATGAGTAAAAAACAGGGAACCTACAGTTCAAAACTGAAATAACAGCAAATACTGGAAAATTGGAGAGTAGTAGGAGAAAGCAGCATACCTCCAGAAGTAGCTCAGGATAGCCAGTTTTAAACTGTAGCTACGTGGAGGTAGAAATTAACAGTGTTCTTCACCTCACATTAGGTCATAATGTTATGCCTGATTCGTGCATATTCAATTCTATTGATCTTTAAAACTGTCCAGCAGAGCTTTGGCCTATAGAGTGCGCTCTGTTTTTACAGCTGTGGACTGCAGTAAGCCTGTGTTGCCGGCGGGGGGCGGTAACGAGACAAACCCTCTGAAACCGGAAGTGAGCCGTCCTTTTATTGTGCTGCAGCAGTGAGTGTTAGCTGTGAACATGTCCGGCATGTCTTCAGCTCAGCATCTCAGAGAGTTCATCAGCCAGCGGCTGACTGCCGCCGCGGAGGAAATCTTCTCGGTCTTCCAGAGAACTATCGCCCAGTACGAGGAAGAGCTGGACCGCCAGCGCAGACTGCTGGACGGCGGCTGGAGGCCGGACTGCGGCTTCCAGAGAGCAGGTCAGGAGGTCCGGTTCCGCTTCACCGCTTTATCTGACACATCGACAGAGAGCCACCCACCGTGGACTGGATGGGTGACAGGCAGGCAAACTACCGAGTAAATAAACATCTGAGCTTAAAAAAAGACAACACAAATATATATACAGTTTTAATCTGTTCTTCAGGTTATTCAACCATCAGATTGGCGAAAAGTGTTTTTCTAGAGTTTCAGAAACTTACTAGAAATGTGGACTGTAGACGCTGACATTAGCGTTAGCTGCTACATGTCTAGCATTTAGATGCTACTTTAGCCCTAAAAAGCTTCGCTTATAACACAACTTGAACACACCACTCGTCCTTTCCATCGTCCAATCAGATTGTTTTTACAAGCAGAAACGAACCCTCAGTGAGCCAAGAAGAGCAGCTGCGTTGTTGTTAGCAGATCTGCACCAGATTTACAGATGTATCAGAAACACGCAAATACAAAGGTTCCGGTTTGAGACTTTGGATATTAAATAAATAATGTTGAACATTTTTAACGCATTCAAATTCAAGTAATTAAATAATTACGTGAATTTAAATGGAATTTAAAGGATCTAAACATCCCATAATTTCTCTGTCTGTAAGTTCAGGCTGGAAGCTGAAACTCCACCTCAGCAGATGCATCATTTGCTACAAATAATCGAGCTAAAGGATTGCTGCTGTTGATTCTTTGTCCAGAAAATGTTCTTATTTTAAAATGTAATTATTTGCATATTTTAATGTATTCAAACGTATTAAAAAGACTTAAGTAGATAAATAACAAATCTGCAGACTGTGCCAATTTTTTTTTCTGATTAGTCGTCATAATAATTGGTAGAGTAATAAGATGATTGATAGCTGCTGTTTCACTTTGGACCATGAGCTGTTTGTGGTCCTTAGTCTCCACCTGGATGGTGGACGGTTGGAGGACGGGTGGAGCCAGCTTCTCTTTCCTCAAGCTGAATGTTTTGTTGTCTTTTCCAGATTTCCCTCGGTGTTCTGTCAGGACAAAGCAGATCCCTGCTGAGCTGCAGCTCCAGAACCAGCAGGACTCCAGTTTGGACCATCCACAGATCAAAGAGGAGCAGGAGGACATGTGGAGCGCTCCGGGGGACGGACAGCTGGTCCTGAAGCAGGAGGCTGATGTCCTGATGGTGGCGCCGTCGCTCCAGGAGGGAAACCTCAGCGAACCAGAATCAGACTGGATCCAACAGGAGAGACCGGATCAGGACGGAGGCTGGACGGACAAATCCGGGCCGGACAGAGACACGGAGCTGAAGGGCAGCCGGGACAGGACGCTGATGGACAACTGTCCCCTGTTGGAAAGTAAGAGAGACAGAAGAGACGGAAAAACCTCGGAGAACTCGGAAAGCATGACTCACTACAGAATCCACACAGGTGAGAACCTGAATCGATTATCTCCAATAACTCATCCAATACTGCAAAATACAAAGCTTTAAATTCATGAAATGTGTCAAAACTGAGATTTCCCACGATACTGAACACATCAACCAACTGCCTGAGCTTTGATGCAGATATTCTAGTTGAATAAAAACCAGAGAAATGTTGAGGAAAGTTGGGATCATTTTCAAATTCCTAAATTTCTTGTTGGATTCAAAACTGGAACTTTTCATTTCTGATGTTTATCTCAGAGTTATTGCCACCTGCTGGTCAAATGAAGGTAGTTCAGCAATTTTCCCATTTTGATACAAATGTCTAATTTGGAGACATTTGTACATCAAATGAAAAATATTAAAATCACAAAAACCTTGAAGAGTTGAAAACTATTAGATAAATAAACAAAGCAAACAGTTGATCAATCAGATTCTTTGATCCAAAGCTGCTGGAACTGAAAATGTTTTCAGTCCAGATTTAAAGGAACCAGCGGTTCTGTTCTGTATTCTCTTCGGCCTGCAGCATCATGTGAGACGGGCTTCATTATATTACATTATTTAGGATGCAAGTTTCACAAGGACATTGCATTTATGCCTCTCTGCACCATGATACTTTCTGTGTAGAACTTTGACCCACTGGCCTCATGAATAGTCATCATTCTAGTGGTTTCATGACAGTTTGCACTCATGTAAGTGAAAACAAGATTAAAAAGCTTCTGTAGCAACTCTCATCAAAATAATGGGCACAAATACACTAGTTTCATGTTTGAATCTGATGTGGTTACAGCTTTTGCTTCATAAGGCTTCAAATTCAACAATATTTTCCATTAGAAGCAAAGTACAATGTTGATGGAGATGATTTACTCATTTGAGGACATCAAGACTATATTTCATTATTTATTATGCCATAAACATGTAAATACTTACAAGAGTTTACAAATAAACAGTGTTGGTCACCGTTAACTAAAACATTAGTCCTGCTAACGCTAAAGCGCTAACCACAAACATTAGATTTGTTCAGTCTAAAGAACTATATCAATACAGTATTCACTGAAAGCTAATGCTAAAGCGCTGCATTCAGTCATGTTGACACCCACCATATGTCAATAACACGTTACATCGTTATATATCATCCTTTACAGGGTCAGCTCTGTCATTACACACCATCTGCACTTTAAATGAAAACATTTATATAGCTAAATGTTTTCAAATTTAACAAAAACGCTAAAGTGCTAAACTGAAAATTAGCTTCGCTATTAGTGGATTAGCCTAAGTGTGCTCACCATTCAAACATTTATTGTAAGAGGCATTTGCTCACACATTTTTTTTTGATGGGCCTGAAAATATTTCAAACCGTTCACAATCATAAATAGTTCATGCAGGTGGTATGAACTAACAAGCTATGTCATTTATTAGCCGCTTTACTGTGGTATAGATTTTGATTTGAATTTGGGGTTGATCTTATCATTTCAGAGAAACTTGCATTGTCAAAAGCAGAACAACTGCTAATGGCCATGGTAGACAACTCTGAGGTTGAAGATTTATCAGATGGAGAAGACAACAATCCAGTTGTTGATGAAAATGTTCTTGATTTTGGCCTCTTACCTGTCGAACAACTGTCTGATGATTCCGAAGAGGATTATTTGCCAGAAGAGGATTCAGATGATGATTCACTGCCTGATGCAAAAGAATATGATCACTATGGCAGTGAAGATGGTGACGGCGAGACCAGGAGAGAACTACGACATCCACAAGCAAGCAAAGAAGAGCGTGGGGAGCCAGAACCCAAACGCAGCAGAGAACCTGCTGAACATGGCGATCGCTGGAACTTTGCTCCTTTCACCCCAAACCTAATGCAGTTTCAGGGTGAAGATGACGACCTGAAAGACGTGCGAACCGATTGGCAGCCACAGGAATACGTGGAGCAGTATATAGACGCTGATCTGATGAGACTTCTCTCCCACTGCACAAACGCCACATCACTGGCGAAGACAGGAAGATCTCTCAATACTTCTGTTGATGAGATCTATCACTTTTTTGGGGCAGCTATTTTGATGTCTTGCGTTCATTATCCAAAAACACGGATGGTCTGGTCAAATGCTTTGGGAATCCCTGCCATCAGTGATGTAATGTCACGTGATCGGTTCTTCAAACTGAGCAGCAATCTCAAAGTTGTTGTTGACGATAACGTTCCAGGAGATGAGAGACAAATCGACAAGTTGTGGAAGGTTAGACCTTTCCTGAACCGCTTACTTGAAGGCTGCCGCCTTCAGGCTCGACCAGAGTGTGTCTCGATAAAAGAGCGGATGATCCCGTTCACTGGAGCCTGCTCATTCCGACAGGATGTGCCACTAAAGGACAATCCAGTTGGCATAAAGAACTTTGTTCTGGCATCGGGAGATGGAATCGTCCTGGACTTTGAAGTCTATCAAGGTGCAGAGATGCTGAGCTCACAAGTTGAGGACTCGGCAGGTTTGGGATTAGGAACTTTGGTGATCAAACGTTTGTCTGAAACTTTGCCTTCTGGTACTAAACTGTATTGTGATCGATTCTTCATGAGCGTGCCAGCTGTGGATCACATGCTGAGGAAGCAAGTGTACCTGACTGGCACAGTGATGAAGAACCGGGTCCCCAAAGCAATGAGGAAGCTGCCAAGTGACCAAACCCTTAAACAGCAAGGAGGAGGTGCTTCTGCAACAGTTACAAGGACAGACGGGGAGCTTTGTGTTGTCAAGTGGTATGACGGTAAGCCAGTTGTCCTGCTCTCTGCTGCTCATGCAGAAGAGCCTAAAGACACCTGTCAGCAATGGTCAAAGAAGGACAGAAAATATGTGACTGTTATCCGGCCAAGCATTGTACGAGAGTACAATACCAATATGGGCGGAGTTGACCTGTCGGACGGAATGAGGAGCCGCCACAGAATGAGCATCCGCACTAAGAAGTGGACGATCCGCATGTTGATGCACTTCACCGATCTGGCTCTTCTTAACAGCTGGCTGCTGTACCGCCAAGACATCCAGGAAAACAAGAACCCAACAAAGGCTGACATGAAGTTTCTGGAGTTTCGCATGGTGGTGGCTCAGGTATTTCTCACCAAGCACGACATCCTAGAGGCTCACATTTCATATGCAGACAGGCAGAATGTACATCCTCCACAGTCCAGGAAAAGAACGCGGATAACCCCTGTCCCACACGTCTCTGTTCGAACTTGTTCTGCTGCTCATCTCCCAGAGGTGATAGACCTGAAGAATTCGATGCGCTGCAGAGGCCGGGGCTGCTCCGGGAAATCCCGGGTGCGGTGCATTAAGTGCAAAGTGTTCCTCTGCTTGCAGAGTGAACGCAACTGCTTTGCAGCGTTTCATATGGGTCTGTAGGCTGGTTCAGGAAGGCCACACTGCCTGTTGCAGAAGTTTTGACACTTTTGTTGAGTCACATCTGACTGCACTTTTGAAAGTTTCCCAAAGGCCAGTATGACAGTTCTGGATGTGCAGACTGCTTTTGGCGGAAGTTTTCTGCTACTTCAGTTGTTGGGTAGCCATTCTAGTTGCCTTAAAAACATCCTTTGTTTTATGCTGTAATGTTTGAAATAAACTTGTTTTGTAAGTTTTTAGATAATTGTCTCTTTATTGTGTCTGTAGGGGAGACCGACCTGGAGTCGTCATACAGGGATGTATCCCTCCTGGGTGTCAATAATTGGGTGGAGGGCAATAATTGTAGTTATGCTCAGGACAAGAGAGAACTCTTGCCAACTTGATGATTTGCTATATTTAGCAGCTTTTCAGACCTTTGCTAGCTTGCTAGCTAAATATTTAGTTCTACATTAAATATTTCCTCCAAAATACAAAGCTGACATTTTATAAACAAATGAACCTTTTTTTGTTAGGTCAGATAACTGAATTTTTTGCTGTTCATGTTTAGCTGTGTAACTTTACAAACGCCACCCCAAGGCTATGTTCATATGGAGGACCAAAACTGAAACTTTTATTTCTTATGTCAGTTTTGGTCCTCCATACGTTCATGCTTTCTACGAGGGATAGTTGCAAAGTCAACGACACACTTCAGGCTGTTGTCCACTGTTGCCCCCTGCTGGTTCAGGAGAAGTGAAGTCAATGACTTGATGCTCTGCTGTGCTTCCTTAGAAACTTTTACAACTCATTTAAGTAATAAAGTGAACTTAATGCACGGTTTGATAACCAGGATCAGCTGGAACTGATAAATTAGAATATTTTTGTCTGTAAAATGCTTTGAAACAGCATGTTGTGAATTGGTGTTAAAGAAATAAACTATTCTAATAAATTGAAGTGGATGAAAGTCAAATTCCTGACATAGTTAATCTGCAGCTGCAGTCCAATACTGCCACTTCTTTGACTTGAACACTGGGAAAATACAAGCCAGTTAGCATGGCTAAACATGGAGGAAGATCATTTTGGAAACATTAATTTATTATTAAACCATCTCTGGAGGTCAAGAGACTGTTTTAATAACGGAGGACAGAAACCCAAAAACCTGCTGCAAAAACGGCTTCTTACCTGAAGAACTTTATGCTCACAAACGATGACAGAGTGCTCCTTGCTGTGTCTGTTGCCATTAGATAAGCTGTCAACTGTTCTTCATCCTTTTAACATTCAGAGGTTTTTGGCCTCTTAGCTGTGATGATAAATATTCTCTAAGTTTGCATATGTGCCAAAGGACTGAAGGGGGTGCTATACGTACATTTTCATCTTTATATACTTTTCTGTAACTACATTGTATCTGTCAGCTGCAAACCTTAAAAGCGTAAAAATTTGTGCACAACAGCAGAATTATCCTTGAACTGAACATTTTGTTTCTCCTCCAGACTTTCCAAAGCATTTTCTCTGGAAGGAGGCAAATATTCCCGTTGGCCAGGCAGGAAACTCCAGTCTAGACCGGGAGCAACCAGAAGCTCCTGAGATTAAAGAGGAGCAGGAAGACGTCTGCGTTCGTGATGAAGATGAACTGGTGGTGAAGCAGGAGGTCGATAGCTTCCTAGTGACATCTGATTATGAGGAAACTGACCACAGTGAGTCAGAACCAAACCAGAATGCCTTCCATGCAGCTGAGAAGCAGGATCTGGAAGGAAACTGGGACAAAGACTCGGGATCCAGCCAGAATCGGACGAGTCAAAGTAATGCAGCAGACGATCTCCCTCCATTCGATAGCGTCTGTAATTCTGACTCTGGTAATAAATCGACAAAATGTTCTGTCTGTGGGAAAACCTTCAGCAGCAACTTCAAAATGCGGAAACATTACAGAATCCACACGGGAGAGAAACCATATTCCTGTAAGATCTGCAGGAAAGCTTTTCGGGAGAGCAAGTACCTGTCAGTCCACATGAGAACTCACACTGGGGAGAAGCCATATTCATGTGAAACTTGTGGGAAAAGCTTCAGTCAGAACAGCCATTTGAGTTCCCACAAGAGAACCCACACGGGGGAGAAACCACACCCCTGCAGCACCTGCGGGAGGAGGTTCGCCGAAGCATCGGCGCTCAGAAACCACATGCTCACCCACACCGGAGAAAAACCCTTTTCCTGCCATATTTGTGGGAAAATCCTACGGTACAGCAGCAGCTTGTCGGCTCACATGAAGATCCACACGGGAGAGAAGCCGTTTGTGTGCAAGACGTGCGGGAAATGCTTCAGCCACAACAGCAGCCTGATTTCCCACATGAGAATCCACACTGGAGAGAAGTCATACCAGTGCACGACATGCGGCCGCTGCTTCAGCCACAGCACCACGCTGCTGCGCCACACCCGCAGCCACACTGGGGAGCGCCCGTACTCCTGCGCCACCTGTGGGAAGTGTTTCAACAGCAGCAGCCACCTGAGCGTCCACATGACCACCCACACCCGGGAGAAGCTGTACTCCTGCACTATGTGCAGCAAGCGCTTCAGCCACGGTAGCAACCTGGTGCGCCACATGAGGACTCACACCGGCGAGCGGCCCTACTCCTGCCAGGCCTGCAGCAAGCGCTTCAAAAGCAGCACTCACCTGTCGCGACACATGAAGACTCACAGGAAGGGTCACAGTCCGGAGGTGGAGATAGTCCTGGAGGACGGCGGCGCTCCGGCCGCTCAGAGCTAGCGCTGAGCGGTCCAACTGAAGACGTTCATTCTGCCACAGCCAATCAGAAAGCTTTAGAGCCAGAACTCTGGTTTTTTATAACTTCAATACTTTTGGTTGTTTAGTGTGAGCCGGTACTTTCTCACAACAGGAAACAAAAAAAAAAAAAAAAAAAAAAAACACTTTCAAGTCCATCAGAAATCATGAAGTTTTTAAGGGAAAAGAAGTAAAAATGTTTTTATTTGTATGGAAAACTAAAGCGCACTGTTGTCCCGTTTCTGAAAGCGTTTCGATCTCATTTACTGCTGAAAAAAATTTTATCTCAGAGATGAAGCTGAAGTTCATTTTCCAAAATTAAAAAAAAAAGCATTTTTTAAATTAAAATATTTAATTTACTTAATTTGCACATTTTTTATTTTTTTACCTTTTTTATTTATTTTTCAAATTTTAGAAAATGTAAAGTATTTTAGCTTAGTTTTTGGATATTTTATTTTTTTAAGATCTAACTTGTTCTGTTTTTTTTATACCTCGGTCAGAGCGTCTTCCTCATCGTGTTGCCTTCAGGAATCGTGGGAACTTTATACACTTTATGTTACAGATGGATCTTCATTGAACAATCAGAAGATAAAATTAAAATTATTGATCCCAGAATTGGGAAAATATTGGCATGACACACAGGAAACGGACATTATGCTCAACATAAAATATAAGTAAAATATAAATTTCAGTATGCTGAAGTAGAAAAATATTATATAAAAATGTTTACAAATCCTGACCGCCTGTTTGGTCACTTCCATAAACATCGTCTGTCCGTCTGATGGAAACATCTGGAAGGTGAAACACACTGACAATGTCTGACAGGAAGTCTGTTTTGTTGTTTTTGTTCTTTTATTTTGAAGACCACTAACCTCTGAGGACAACTTCCTGAAGGAAATGATGTAACCTGGAGGGAATTTCCTGCTCAGACTCATTTTGTTTAGTAGGTTATCTAACCTGTATCAGTTTGTGTGTTGTGTATATAAAATAGCAGCTTGTATATCTTTGTAAATTCTTTGTTTTAAACTTTATGGCTGATGTTGTCCACTTCTATGTAAGGCTGTTGGGTCGGATGTGATGAGGTTTATGTTAAGCTCTTCCTGAACTGCTGGTTCTGATGAGACCGGATGAAAATAAAATAAAATAAAAATCCTTAACTGTGGAAGCTGCTGACGTTTGTCACCTGCTTTCCGCCAAATGATCCTCATCCTGACCGCCGGTTTTCATCACCAATAAATATCAGATGTTTTCATAGTTATATGACCCTCAGTGGAACCGATCCAAAAGGCTCCAAATAAAAACTCCTTATCTCAATGGTATTGCTTTTTCTATGAAATATGAAAATGTTGGAACAAAATTCTGAATCGATGTCGCCCGTCCTCCTGGGTTTCAAAAGTTACACAGTTAAAAATGAATAGCAGTTTTCACCATCTGGTTCATTCATTTATAAATATCAGTTTCAATGTAAATATTTGGCTTCAAACTAAATAAATAGATAAGTAAATATTTACCTCTGAACTAAATATTTAGTTTGCTAACTAAAAGTTTGAGGCTTCAAACAAATTATTTAGCAGAGTTAAATATTTAGTTACCAAGCTAAAAAATTAAGTGACATGAAGTTTCTGTCTGCATGTTGGTACTCGTGATTAAATATTCATAAACAATGTTAATCCTGTGTTCCTGGACAGATTGATGGTAAGTATCATTTCACACAGACTGGGAATTGGTCTTTTTTAAGGCACTTGAATATATTGTTTTGTGTGAGCAGTTTGAGTCACAGAATATAAAAAAGCACAAAAAAGAGTTTAGATGCATAAAACCGAAGCCTCAATGGTAAGAGACTCACGTATGTGCCAGTGTGCGAATCTAAAATTTAAAAACTTTCTAAGCTCATTAGCATACTTTTAAAGGTTAAATTTGGATCCAAAGTCACACCTGCAAAGACAAATTCATCCTTATTTTATTTTCNTTAAAACATACTGAAATTAATAATTTAAAGTAAGCACTAAGTGAATTTTAAAAAATTCTATTTAAAATATACACAAAATATCTCTTACAGATATCTTAAAAATTGAGCAAGTGTTTATTTACACTTGGGCAAATGCATATTTTGTTCACTTAAAGTATACTTTTATTTAATACATTTCTTAAAAGTGTATTTTGGTACAATATATTTAAGTATGTTTAAAGTTATGTCAAAATTGGTACAAGCATACTTTTACTTTATATATATTTATAGGTAGTACACTTAAAACTTAGCATACTTAAAATATACTTTCACAAATGTAAGAATATTTGAAATATACAAAAGTATACTTTTTTTTACTAGGGAGGTTACTGTATGCACATGGATGAAGGCACATACAGAAAAAGAAAGGAGCAGGAAATATTGGTGGGGAGTGTCCCTGTCAGGGTTGGTGGGGACATGTCCACACCAGCCCTTCAGGAAGTTATGCCTATGCTACAGTTTGTAGTGGAATGATTAGCCAGCAGCTAAAGCTGGCATCACTTTGAAGTGCTGACAGCAATGAAGAGAGAAATGGTGAATGGTCAGAGTGTAAAACACCAGAACTCCATAATATCTTGTGATGTGAATTTTATTTTTCATTTGGATTTTTTTAAAATAAAGTTCAGACGTGGCCAACTCCAATCCAAAGGTTGCACATTTAGGAAAAAAAGTGCCAGAATGTAATTATATTTATGTGTAAAGTGAAATGATCAACTAATTAGAGGCTTTATCATTATGTTTGAGTCAGCAATTAATTTCTGTAAGACCAAAAGTTGGGTTTATTTTGGTTAAACCCAACATTGAGGTTCTCCATTGCTGGAGTGCCCGTTCCAGACATCAGCTGGGAGTTGAACACAACTGCTGGGTGCTCATGACCCGCCCACAACAGTGAGGAACTGAGATGCTCACCACTGGGGGTAGAAAAGAACCACACAACTGGCCAGTGTGACTGGCCAGTGGAAACTTTCCAAGTCTTCTGTGCATGCTAAATACACCCACAGTGTATGAGTTGATGGTGCTCTGTTCTAATTTGTTACAACAAAGTAAAGCTAATTTGTTCTAACTCCATAGAAAACATACACACACAGGTTTCTGCTTAATTATTCCTGGTATCACTCAGAATAGTAATGTACATATTTCACTATTTTCAGTGAATGATTTGCTTCCCAAACTTAATTTCTCTCCCTTTCCATCTTCTTCTCCACCCACACACGAAAGCAGAAATACTTCATCTCATGTGGAACCTGAAGAGTTTTTGGCAGCAAAATGATCCATCATTCTTGAGTCATCAGAGACATTGGGACATCCGAACATACAGAGTGCTGAGAGTAGGTGTAGTGAGAGCAGGGTCGGCAATAGGTCACAGCTGCAGCTGAATGAATCTCAGCGGGGTGAGATTATACTGCAGAACAGCATGAGGTAAGTCCTCTTCTTTCAGAGTTGTTGATGCCAGATGCAGCTGCCCCCCCCGACACTGCAGATAGGGAAAGGTGTGTTCTGTGTCGCTCACTAGTGAACCCGGGCCTCAGTCTCTAGTGTGGAATCCAATCACCTGCATGCTGAATTGATGTCCAGAAGACTTATTTCTGTAATAAGAATATACTGGGGGGGCAAATCTAGACTATAAGGGAAACATTTGAACTGTCATGTTTGAAGTTCTAGTCTTAAAGTGTCTAGCAATTTTACTTCTACTGAAAGCCTCAGCAGAGGTGGAAGTTAGAGTCTTAGAAATGAGCAGGAGCTTATTAGAACGAAGGCAGAGCATAACTGAACATAAAATGTCACGAAATAAAACCATTATAAAACAAGTCAATAAAACTGTGATTGACAAAGGAACAATGTTCATAAAAAACAATGTTTTTTTTATTTCATGAGAACATTTATTTAATGGACAATTTAATTTTGATTAAATGGTTCTCTATAAAGTTTTACATAACTGGCAGAAAAAATTATGCATTAATTTGAAAAAGAATAGTTGCAGTTACAATGGCTTGCAAAATTATTCATACCCTTTGAACTTTACAGATTTTGTCACATTACTACTGCAAACATAAATAGATGTTGGAATTTTAAATGAAAAATTGAAAAATTGAAAAAGAATGAGACAAGACAAAAATACAGTTGAGGTGGATTTATTCAAATATTGCAGGTCACATTTCCACGAAAACCATTTCACAATGGGACAAAGAAGCTAGTTTTTTATATCCTGAGCAACTTCAGGCATTACCGATTAAACTTTAAAAATTAGCTTTATGTAGTAATATTATATAGCTCTGCCATGATAATTTTCTTGATTGAATTGATCCTAAAGTTTTACAGCAAGATGTCTACAAATCACTTACGAACATAGCATTTGAAACATTATTTAAGGCTGTTTTAACCCTTATGCGTGTGAGGACTAAGGCAAACGTAGAGAACTGTGGCAAATGATAAAAGTTTTACGTGTGTGGGGTCGGTTGGTATGGACCCCATTTCTAAACACAAGGGCTAAGTAGTGCAATACACCATCTCCACCAGTGAGAGGCAGCAGTGCACGAACAGGCGTGCAGTGTGTTGGTGAAGAAGAAATCTTCCATATTGTGGCGCAAACCTAACACAAGTTATAACCATAGACATAATATAAGGGTAGACGCCTCATGGACCGCTCTCACCTATTGTCGCTGACGAGATTTAGGGCGGCCATCTTGGAGCGGTACTCCACTCCACTCAGCGTTATGTGTTTAGCAGTCACAATGATGTATGAGCGCATTTAATCAATCATAACACACTTTTTTTGTTTCTGTAAACCATATTCAAACATCTATCAAAGCAACATTTATAAACAATTGTATTTTTAAGTATGTTTTTAATAGTTCATCATATTTAAATATGCTTAGTGGCTATAACAATAGAATAGGAATGGAATATTCTGATTGTCATGTCGGATGATACTTGATTAGCCCACATGCAAGTACACAGCCAGGAGAACAAGAAAAGTTCAATGGGTTTATTGTAGCGGGGAGGAAAATCAACTGGTGCGAGCGGCGGGCAGCAGCACCAACAGCACACTGAGAGGAAAAAGGGGAGATGGTGAGTTGAGGTGGTGGAACCTTGCGTAGCTTCAGAGAT